CGCGGGTCGCACGCGAGGGCGTGTGAGGAGGGCGAGGCCGATCGCGTGGGGCACGCTAGGGCGTGCGGGCTGGGCGGGGCCGATCGCAAGAGGCACGCTAGGGCGCGCGACAGTAAAGGTGAGAGGAGGGCGCTCGAGGGCGCGACTAGGCGAGGCGCGCTCGGGCGCGACTAAGCGGAAACGGTGGGCCCTATCAGTCGGTCCTAGGTTACGACCTAGGCTCGTAATACCATGTTAGAAACTAAGAATGAATGAGAATGATGAACTAGAAAGGGAATGGGAGTACAAGTACCAAACCCTAGAGTAGTGTACCCCCTAGAAGGCTAACCCACTATAGCCTACACAACTATAACATATATAATGTTTGACAGTGTGTCGGCTGACTGGGGCGAACGTCTCAGTGAAGTCGTGCCCATGTTCTTGGTCGAAGCCGCGTACGACCCAGCGTGCTTTGAACTTGTCGATGGTGCCGTCCGCCTTTGTCTTCACACGGAAGACCCACTTCCCGGTGAGTATAGTCTTGTTTCGTGCCACTCCGATGGGAACAACTTTCCAGGTGTTGCGTTCCTCCAGTGCTTTCAGCTCCTTGTCCATGGCTTCGCGCCATTTTTCCTTATGCTCCCCCCCCAGAGCCTGCTGAACTGTAGCAGGCTCCTTAGGAATGGTTGCGCCGTGAACCGCGGTGACGAGGCCAAGTATCTGGAGTCCACTCTGTGTGTAGCGGGGGAGTGTTGTGTCCTCGGGATAGACTGCTTCATCTCCCGCTTCTGGTGTAGGGTTGAAATTTGGTCCTACGCGTTCTGCTTCGTCGGTGTTGACCTGTGCAAGTGTAACGTAACCGTTGTCGGCGAAGTGATAGTATACTTCGGCGTTGATGTTGTCGCGTGGATTTTCGTCGTCCATCGGGACATCAACCGAGCAGTAGGGGAGAGGTCCGGCTTCCTCCGAGGCTCCTTCCACGTTTTGCTCGTCCAGGTCAGCTTCATCTTCTGCCGAAGCGAAGGCTCGGTCCCCACGAAATCCGCCTGTGACATCTCGTGAAGTCTCCAAGTTGTACAGGTACGTTGAAAGGGTGAGTCGCTCGTAGAAAATGACATCACGTGCTGCTACTGTTTCCTTTGAGTGGACGTAAAAAATCTTCCACGCGTTGTAATTCTTTTCGATGCCCAGGTGTAGCCCCCACTGTGCGCGTTGTGAGAATCGGCCAGCGCGTGCAGCTGGGGGTCGGTACTGTACCATGCAGCCGAAATTCCGCAACATTTTTGTGCTGCCCAGTTTTCCTGTCCACAGCAGATGCGGTGATGCGTTGTTCGGAAGCGATGATGACGAAAGCAAGTTGTGCAGCATCACGGCGTGGTCCATTGCTTCGGGCCACTGGTGGTTGGGTAGCCGCATGCCACGTAGCAGCTTGCGCATGGTGTTCTGAAGGGTCCTGTTCATTCTTTCTGCCACACCTTGCTGTTGATGGGCGTAGGGAAGGGAGATGAGCCGCTGGATTCCTCTTTCTGCCAAGTACTGCTTGAACCTCTGTGAGGTGTATTCTCCTCCCCCGTCGGACTGAAAGCTCTTCAGCTTAAGTCCTGATTCCCGTTCTGCTACTGGGAGCCAGGCTACGAAGGCTTCGAAGGCCATATCGCGGCTTGGAAGGTTGAGATGCCAGACATAACGAGTGGCGGCGTCGATGAACGTGATGGTGTAGTTGTATGCTTCTTGTCCAGGTTCGCGGTTGTACAGGATGTCGCTGTACACTTTCTCAAGTGGTGCGTAAGCTGGTGCGCTCGGATTGTGATGAGAAACAAAGGGCTGATGCGGTAAGTCGGCTTCTGGGCAGGTGAAGCAAGTTCCTCTCATTCGTCGAAGTTCTCTGCCGTCGGGTAGAAGTAGTGAGTCTTTGTCAAGAACGCCTGCTCGTATCGTGTTGTTTAATGTCGTGTTGCTCGGATGTCCCATTCTTTTATGCCAGAGATCTTCGTCGGCGCGATGTCCGGGTGAGCGTCTGTACAGATCGGAGTTGGAATAAAAACTGGCGGTGAGATTCGTACTTCGGTGAACTTCTCGAGGAGTTGGATTCAGCTGCTGCGCTAGAGTCGGTGGGGTGTCGTCGTCGATTGGGGCTGGTGCAGTTGAAGGACTCGCGATTGGTGCCAATGTTGTCTCTGCTGCTGCTGGTGTTGTCTCTGCTGCTGCCGTTGTTGTCTCTGCTGCTGCCGATGTTGTCTCTGCTGCTGCCGTTGTTGTCTCTGCTGCTGCCGAGTGTTGAATCGTTGCTAATGCTCTTGTTCGTTCTGCCTCAGGGAATGGTGTGCGAATACCAGAAACCTTCGGGGCTGAAGTCAGGATCAAGATCCGGTGGGTGCGTCCAGGAGGTGAAGGTGACGATTCCGTCGCTGTCGGCGGTGCCTAAATCTGGAACGAAGTCGAGGACGAACACGTTGTTCTTCAGCACGGCCTTGCCGATGTAAAGGCCTCCTTTCCCGTGGTACAGTTTGAACTCCTGTGTTGTGCTGTCTGCTTCGAGGTGGATGCCTTTTGCCATCAGTTGGCTGACGCTCAGTAAGTTGTAGCCGAGTCCCTCCGCGATTAAGACCTTTGACATCTGCAGTATAACGTTTGTCTCCCTTGACTGAAGTTGAACCACGCCTTGTCGTCGTGTGCGCATGTTCTGATTGTTGGCGACGGTAATGACGACTTCGCGTTGAAGTTGGTGCTCGCGCTGAACGAAACGTCCCGAAGAGCACATGTGCTGCCCGCAGCAACTATCCAAGAACCAAGTACCTTTCCCGGACGGCTCACTTTGGGCAATGGCTGCGTATGTCGGGTTCGGCTCCAGTGTCTCGCGGCGAGGAGTGGATTCTTCGAGTTGTTCTTCTGGTGAATAGTACGGTGGTGATTCAGTGATGCAGGAGTCTGACAATCTTGCCATGCAGCTGACGATATTTCTTGCTCCTTGTGCAGATTGTGTTGACGGCGATGTCGTTGAGGGCTGCAGTTGACTTGTGGGATTCGCTTGCGTGGACGCTACTTGACTGCTCAAAGGACGAAGTTGGCGCTGCGGCGGTGTTGACTGCTGTCGATTCGGACAGTGTGTGCGAGGGTGTCCTGAAGTCTTGCAGAGATGACAAAACGGAGGTACGGGTATTGGTTGATGCCGATTGTTGTTGTTGTTGTAGCGCCGTTGAGTGTGAAACGCAAATTCGGGAACTGACGTTTTCTTCTTGTGCCGCTCCTCTTGCAGGTCCATGTCTTGCTGCTCGGCGTGAATTTCGGCGCAGAGTGCTGCTTCGGAGATCTTCCCGTGAGCTCGGAGTATGGCGCGAGTGGAGCGCCAGTGTGGACCAAGACCTCCGATAACAACTGTGACAAAGGCGTCTTCTGATATCGATCCTCCACATCGAAGGAGTTTGTCGCGCAATTCGCGGCAGCGACTAATATACGCCATCCCCTTTTCGCCCGGTTTCATTTCCACTGTTGTCAGTTGCGCCATTAACCGACTCTGGTTGACGCTGTCTGTTGCCTGATACAGGTTCTTCAGGTGGTTGTACGCGAGTTCGGCGGAGTTGCCGTATCCTCGATAAGACCGGATGTTCTGCTGTTGGGTTGGCGTGACGTTGCGTAGTAGAATTGTGTACGCCATCATTGACTGATAGGTGTACTGCTGCTTGTCATATTGTGTCCCGTGTGTTGGATATGGCAGGGACCCGTCGAAGAAGCCTAGAATTTGCGCGCCCTCCATCATCAGCTCGAATTCGAATGACCAGGTGAAGAAGTCCTTTCCGTCGAACGGTCTTGATGTCTGCAGTTTCAGGACGTGTGCAAACTGCGACTGAACTTGAAGTGCGTCCAGTGTCTTCTCTTGCTCAAGTGAAGTCCGCTGGCGCGGCATGAAGCTGACTGAACCACGCTGAGGTTCATACGGGGCAAAGGTAGGTTGCTGCTGGTTTCCGCGCGCATAGGATGAACCATCAAGGCTCATGGGCGTGACGTCGTTGTTGTTGTTGCTAATGTTTGACTGCGCAGGTGCCGTTTGTTGATGTTGCTCGTAGAAGGACATGAAGGAGAAGAACTTCTCCATCATGCTTGGGTCGAAGCCCGCAGCTTGATTTGCGGGAGTTTCAGTAGACGTAGCTGCCGGTCTTGTTGCTGTGCCTTCCTCTGTCTGCAGGCCAGAGGCAGGAGGTGGAGTAGGAGTAGTACCGGGAGAGCCGTTAGAGGAGCTTCTCTCCTTTTGCGTTGCCATGCCTTCTGATGTTGTGGGTGTCTTGATAGTAGTTGAGTTTGCCCTGTTAGCTCTCATACCATGTTGGGCTGAGAAAAAGCCCTTAGGATCTTTGCAGGACTAAACTCAGAGTAGGAATGATGTAATAGCGGAAGCGTTTAATGACAAGTCTGTGAACCACCTTGCGCTAGTATGTGAGGGCAAAGTAGATTGATTAAAGCAAAGAGATACAAGATTATATAAGAGTACAAGGAATACGAAGAGATACGGTTGCAACTACTTTACTGTTGCTGTTGCGGTTCGATACAGTGACGACTCGGGCAACTGCTCTGTAGCGAGTCAGTTGTGTGTCCTTGCTGTCGTGCTGTACTTGTCAGGTCAAAGGTTGCTGACCTTTGACTTTCGCGTAACCTCCAGCAACTGCTCAACCTCCGAGGGTTGACTCGCCAGTGCTTTGATATGCTTTGCTTCGCTTCTGACTTGGTGTTTCGACACGACAGAGGCGCTTACAATTAATTGTTTCCAACACAATCCTGTATTGGGTTCCATGATTCCATCCATGTCCACCACATGCCTCCTGCATCACCACTGCTTTGCTTTGCACAGTACTGGGTTAATCCAAACGGATTTCCAGGGGAACGAGTATGGACAAAACACAAAACCCATGAGACTAGGTATATTGTCACCTACTGTTTTTATTCCAAACGTTCACCATCTAAACCCCCAAGCCAGCTACACTAAACAGTGCCACCGCAATCACAACCCATACTTAGCATCTCATCAATCAAGAGTTAGAAACCATAGGCACACCAGCACTGTCACCATCACCCATACCCAGCTTCTCCATGCCTGCATCCACCATCTCACCGCCCTGCACCTCCGGCAACTCCTCCGAACCCAGGTCAAACTCGGGGTACTCCTTCTTGAGCACAACCCTTGCCACAGCCTCACACCCCGCTCCCACCACCATCCCCGCAACCGAGAACCCGAGAGCCATGAGGAAGGGAGGGTAGTCGTACGCGTATAGAAACACCTGGTAGAGCGAATCAGAATACGACATGTCGTACTTGACCGAGTAGATCTGCGTCCAGATGAAGAGAGAAGCGATCCCAGACAGGCAACCGAAGCCCACGGAGAATGGCGTGATAGCCCAGCGGGACCACTTCCCGGGGATCACACCCGCCATCACCGGGATTACCGATGTGGTGTCGTTGAAGAGCGAGAAGAGGATGGTGTTGGTGTTGGTGAAATCCTCGTTCGGCTGCCACACCCCGCCCCACACGGCGAGCAGGCCTGGGGAATGGGATGGAAGGGGTGGAAGGGGAATGCAGGGGTGTGGAGTGGTTGAAGAGAGGGAAAGGAATGATGGCGTTTTGCAGCGAGTCGACTGCGGACTCAGACATGACGACAGCGAGCACGGTGGCGATGACTAGGATCCACGTGGTGTCGTTGAAGAGCGAGAAGAGGATGGTGTTGGTGTTGGTGAAATCCTCGTTCGGCTGCCACACGCCTCCCCACACGGCGAGGAGACCTGAGAAGAGCGAGGGGGGGAAATGGAGAGGAGCAGAGGGAGATGGGGAGAAGGAGAGGGGGAGAGGGAGAGGGAAAGAGGGAGAGGGGGAGAGGGAGAGGGGAGAGGGGAGAGGGAGAGGGGGAGAGGGAGAGGGGAGAGGGAGAGGGCGAGAGGGAGAGGGGGAGAGGAAGAGGGGGAGAGGGAGAGGTGGAGAAGGAGAGGGCGAGATGGAAAGGGGGAGAGGGAGAGGGGGGAGGGGATGATGGGGGTGATGGGGGTGATGGGGGTGATGGGGGTGATGGGGATGATGGGGGTGATGGGGGTGATGGGGGTGATGGGGGTGATGGGGGTGATGGGGGTGATGGGGATGATGGGGATGATGGGGGTGATGGGGGTGATGGGGGTGATGGGGATGATGGGGGTGATGGGGGTGATGGGGGTGATGGGGGTGATGGGGGTGATGGGGGTGATGGGGGTGATGGGGGTGATGGGGGTGATGGGGGTGATGGGGGTGATGGGGGTGATGGGGGTGATGGGGGTGATGGGGTTGATGGGGATGATGGGGGTGATGGGGGTGATGGGGGTGATGGGGGTGATGGGGGTGATGGGGGTGATGGGGGTGATGGGGGTGATGGGGGTGATGGGGGTGATGGGGGTGATGGGGGTGATGGGGGTGATGGGGATGATGGGGATGATGGGGGTGATGGGGGTGATGGGGATAATGGGGGTGATGGGGGTGATGGGGGTGATGGGGGTGATGGGGGTGATGGGGGTGATGGGGGTGATAGGGGTGATGGGGGTGATGGGGGTGATGGGGGTGATGGGGGTGATGGGGGTGATGGGGGTGATGGGGGTGATGGGGGTGATGGGGGTGATGGGGGTGATGGGGGTGATGGGGGTGATGGGGGTGATGGGGGTGATGGGGGTGATGGGGGTGATGGGGGTGATGGGGGTGATGGGGTTGATGGGGGTGATGGGGGTGATGGGGATGATGGGGGTGATGGGGGTGATGGGGGTGATGGGGGTGATGGGGGTGATGGGGGTGATGGGGGTGATGGGGGTGATGGGGGTGATGGGGGTGATGGGGGTGATGGGGGTGATGGGGGTGATGGGGGTGATGGGGTTGATGGGGATGATGGGGGTGATGGGGGTGATGGGGGTGATGGGGGTGATGGGGGTGATGGGGGTGATGGGGGTGATGGGGGTGATGGGGGTGATGGGGGTGATGGGGGTGATGGGGGTGATGGGGGTGATGGGGGTGATGGGGATGATGGGGATGATGGGGGTGATGGGGGTGATGGGGATAATGGGGGTGATGGGGGTGATGGGGGTGATGGGGGTGATGGGGGTGATGGGGGTGATGGGGGTGATAGGGGTGATGGGGTGATGGGGTGATGGGGGTGATGGGGTGATGGGGTGATGGGGGTGATGGGGGTGATGGGGGTGATGGGGGTGATGGGGGTGATGGGGGTGATGGGGGTGATGGGGGTGATGGGGGTGATGGGGGTGATGGGGTTGATGGGGGTGATGGGGGTGATGGGGTGATGGGGGTGATGGGGTTGATGGGGGTGATGGGGGTGATGGGGGTGATGGGGATGATGGGGGTGATGGGGGTGATGGGGGTGATGGGGGTGATGGGGGTGATGGGGGTGATGGGGGTGATGGGGGTGATGGGGATGATGGGGGTGATGGGGGTGATGGGGGTGATGGGGGTGATGGGGGTGATGGGGGTGATGGGGGTGATGGGGGTGATGGGGGTGATGGGGGTGATGGGGGTGATGGGGGTGATGGGGGTGATGGGGGGGATGGGAGTAAGGGCAGCAGCGGGACAGGAGGCTAACATGGAGAGCAGGCGGGAGCAGCTAGGACACGGGGAGAGGATGGAAGGAGCAATGGGGAAGCAGTAAGGGAGCAAGGGAAGCGGGCAGGAGGGCACACATACCTCCAAAGCCGAAGAGAAAGACAACGATGGTGACGGCCACCGACGCCAGCGCTGCTCCCCCCAGCAATGCCTTTCGACTCGCTGACGCCCAGCAGCTGGTGTGTGTGGAAGGGGGTGTGGGAAGTGGGGGGGGGGAGAGGAAGAAGTGGCCGCACAGCTTAGTGGGTGGCCCGAGGGGGCAGGCCAGGTGCTGCTTCCCCCAGCAGCGCGTTACGACTGGCTGACACCCAGCAGCTGGTGTGAGGGGGTACGGGAAGTGGGGGGAAAGAGGGACACCAGGTGATGCGCGTGGGAGAGAGAGACAAAACGTGGGATGATGCGGCTGAGAGCAGTAGTAGTCACAGCCATGTCCTACATGTAATAGCACTACATGACACTACATGGCTCACCGTTGCCACATGGCTTCGCTGAAGAGCGTGGAGGAGATGAGCGAGATGGGCATGACTGCAATGGACGCGAGCCCATAGGGGTTGCTCCACGTGAGGTCCACGGGCTCAGAGGGGAGCGGACCGAGGGGCGCGTCGAAGGTGGCACAGACGAATATGAAGAGCACCAGCACGAACACCACTGATATGCCCGCCTGGTGGGTCAGAGACAAGACTCGCAAGGTAGTCTAGGCGGTACACAGCAGCAAAGTCAACGAGCTCAGCTACTAGGGCAGACGCAGCAGGAGACGAGAACGTAGGGTCCGTCACAACCGTAGCAAGAAGGCGAGTAACAGTCGGACTGGACGCACGAGTAAGGTCAGACGGAGGGTCAGCAACGTCAGGCAAAGAAGACGCAGGAGGTAACGGTAGGACAACACGCTGAGGAACAGAGGAAGGACGGAGTGTCATATCGTGAGTGCCGGGGACAGCCGGAGCACGCTGACGACGAACACGAGGAACACGAGCACGGACAGCAGCTCTAGGTTCAGGCTCAAGGTCAAAGCTAGACTCAGGCTCTCGACGCTCAGGGGTGGAAGCACAAGTCTCAGGCTCTCGACACTCAGTCAGGGACTCTGACACCGCAGTGTAAGGAGCAGGAGCAGGCAGTGGGGAGTGTGGTAGCAGCGGCGGCTGTGACTGGTCCGCCGGTGGACACAGCAACGGAGGAGTAGTACCTGCCACAGGGAAGCCAGTAGCACCTGGCTGAAGACTGAGAAGGTGGCGAAGAGCACCAGTAGCTCCACCAGGACCTCCAGCACCTCCAGCACCTCCAGCCCCAGCAGCTTCGGCGCCTCCAGCACCAGCAGCTCTAGCAGCTCCACGACCTCCAGCACCAGCAGTACCTCCAGTACCTCCAGCACCAGCAGCTCCACGACCTCCAGCACCAGCAGCACCTCCAGTACCTCCAGCACCAGCAGCTCCACCAGGACCAGCAGCACCTGCAGCTCCCCGACCTCCAGCACCAGCAGCACCTCCAGTACCTCCAGCACCTCCAGGACCTCCAGCACCAGCAGCACCTCCAGGACCTCCAGCACCAGCAGTACCTCCAGTACCTCCAGCACCAGTAGCTCCAGGTCCTCCGGTAGGAGCTCCGACGACACCAACACCAGAAGGACTTGCAGCACCCCCAGAGTCAGCACTCGAACTCGAAGCACCCCCAGAGGCAGCACCCTCGGTCTCAGACCCGAAACGACGACGCATCACCAGGCTGTCCCGTCCTACGGAGTGTGGGCGAGGTCTCTGGAGCAGAGACACGGGGCCAGAGGTTGAGCTGATGCGCGGCGTATCGGACCGCAAACGGCCACAGGAAATGGGGAGCAGCCGCATGGATCATGGAGGTACGAGCAACCTCCATGATCAGGCCAATGCGACGCTCAGCGATCCCATTTTGCTGCGGAGAGGCCGGAAGCGTGAACGACTGGCGGATGCCCTCATCCTGGCAGAACGTCTCAAGGACGCCAGAGGAGAACTCACCACCCTTGTCAGAGTGCAGACGCAAGACTGGGAAGTCCTGCTGAAAGCGCTCGTGCAGCTGGAGACGAGTAGCACGGATCCAGCGGATCAAGACACCACTGACATCCGCCTTGCGCCGCAAGGGGAAGACTGTGGTGTAGCGTGTGTAGTCGTCAACCACCAGCAGGAAGTAGCGCTCCTGGTCCGTTCCACCGACGGGGGCCGGGCCCCACACGTCCATGTGGAGAGTCTGCAGAGGAGCAGTGGTCGGAGGAAACTCGGAGGAGTGAGGAGCGGCGCGCTGCCGCCCCTCGACGCAAGGAAGGCACGGCGGCGCAAGTGAGCGCGGGAGGGGGGGCAGGGTCTCAGGGAGGCCAGTGACCAGGAGCCGGGAGTGCATGCGGCGCAGACGCTGCAGGGAGGGGTGACCAAGACGGTGGTGCCAGCGCTGAGTCTCGTGCGTGAGTACTCGGCACGAGCAAGACGCAGCTAACTGCCCTGACGCAGACGCTCGACTCGACGTAGCTACCTGACCTGACTCAGCCACCTGTGCAGACGCAGTGGTCAGTGTGTACAGACTAGACCCAGGCTGTCGAGTGAACGTAGCCAGGTGACGGCCAGTCCGGGAGCACGTACAGATCGCCACACGCTGCCCTCCAGGAATAAAGGTATCAACCCAGACATCCTGAATGGCAGCGTTGCTCACCAAGTTCGTCGAGAACGTGGGGAGGTGGAGACCTGACAAAGAGCCGGAGGGGACTGCTGGACAAGGGAGGACCGTGGAGGCTCTCGCAACCACTGGGCCCCCAGAGGGGTCAGCCAGTGAGACTGGGACAGGTGCTGTGAGTGGTGTGACTGTGGTGCAATCACGGAAGAAGCAACGTGACGCGCCGGAGTCAAGCGTGAACGTGTGCAAGACCTCAGCTGAGGCAGGACCTGTGGTAGTAGACGCACTAGCAACTAGAGCGTCGGTAGACTCACGGGCACCTGGAGCTGCAGCAGACTCACTAGCACCTGGAGTGGCAGCAGACTCACTAACACCTGGAGTGGCAGCAGACTGACTAACACCTGGAGTGGCAGCAGACTCACTAACACCAAGAGCAGCGGTCTTAACATAACGATAACCTCCACCACCAGGACGACCTCGCTGAATAACCCACTCACGAAGCTGCTGAGGGGTGGGGTCGTCCGGGAGAAGCAGTGCCCGCTGCTGTCCACCCCTGGCCGCAGCGACTGCCGCGGAAGTGGCCATGACAGACAGTGACTGTCAGGAGTAGGTCCAGCACCTCCAGCTCCTACAGCGCCAGCAGCACCTCCTACACTCCCAGCAGCACCTCCTCCACTCCCAGTAGCACAAGTAGCAGCAGCAGCAGTAGTAACAGCAGCAGGGCGGTTCGGTGGGGGTGGGAGGCCGCACCTCCACCACTCCCAGCAGTACTCCCTCCAGTAGCAGCAGTAGCAGGGCGGCTCGGGCAGCAGCAGCAGACCGAGCAGCAGCAGCAGCAGCAGTAGCACTAGCTGTAGCAAGTGCAGTAGTAGGAGCTGCAGCAGTAGCACTAGCTGTAGCAAGTGAAGTAGTAGGAGCTGCAGCAGTAGTACTAGCTGTACCAAGTGAAGTAGTAGGAGCTGCAGCAGTAGCTTCAGTCAGGAGCAGCTGCAGTAAGTGCTGGAGTAGGAGCTGCAGCAGTAGCACTAGCTGTAGCAGAAGTAGCTTCAGTCAGTACCAGCTGTACCAAGTGCAGTAGTAGGAGCTGCAGCAGTAGCACTAGCTGTAGCTGGAGTAGCTTCAGTCAATAGTAGCTGTAGCAAGTGCTGGAGTAGGAGCTGCAGCAGTAGCACTAGCTGTAGGAGCCGTAGCTTCAGTCAGTAGCAGCTGTAGCAAGTGCCGTAGTAGCAGCAGCAGTAGCACTAGCTGTAGCAGCACTAGCTTCAGTAGCAGCAGCAGTGAGTAGCGCTAGCTGTAACAGGAGTAGCGTCAGTAGCAGCAGCAGTGAGTAGCGCTAGCTGTAGCAGCAGTAGCTTCAGTAGCAGCAGCAGTGAGTAGCACTAGCTGTAGCAGCACTAGCTTCAGTAGCAGCAGCAGTGAGTAGCACTAGCTGTAGCAGCACTAGCTTCAGTAGCAGCAGCAGTGAGTAGCACTAGCTGTAGCAGCAGTAGCGTCAGTAGCAGCAGCAGTGACAGCTCGGGATGGGCAGCGCGTAGTAGCAGTAGGCGCGCGTGGGCTGTGGGCGTGCAAACCAGGGGCGCGCAACAGGTGCGTGCGGGGCGGCACTACGAGGAGCGCGCATCAGGTGCGTGCTAGGGGCTGGCGGGCAGCGTGAGTGGCGCGCGCAGCAGCAGGAACGAGGGGGGGACCGGGCGTAGGGGCTGACGGGCCGCGCGAGAGGCGCACGGGGCAGCTAGGGCTCGGTCAGGGGGGTCGCACGTGACTAGGAACAGAAAATCGCGTCTAGGCAGAAAAGGGAACCGTCTCGCCTAGGGCACGTTTTCGCATTTCGCGTTTCTCCTAGGGGCGCGACTCGGGCAGCAGGTCGAAATAGTAGTGGTGGGCCCTTTTAAAATTTCGGTCCTAAGGAGCATTGTGCTCTTAATACCATGTTAGAGTTACTAGCTAGATGAGTGAGTTCGATTAGGTAAGGGGGGGGTACAAGGACTATCGAGAGAGATTGTTGTACCCTCTAAGGAAAGAACCCTACACAACCTAGAGTGAAATAAGCAGAACAATATGTTTTGACATCTACACCACCTAAGCCCTTACTACTGAGCACTACGCTACTCATTTGGACAGACCAACATGTGGGGTGGTGCTGCAGATTTTTTTGTTCAGATCCAAGTGGGGATCAGCAGACCTATGCACTTCTGGTCAACGTCAAAGCCTTAGCGAGATGCAGTAGCTATGTGAGTGAGCTAAGTGTGATGTGAACCTCACTGATTGGGTGTGGTGTGGGAATTCCCTGAGTTAGTGTAGGACATATGATCACCAGGTGAGCAACAATGAGGGCACATTGTATGGTTCATACGCGGATGGACTGAAACTCATCTGACTTTCTGATTGCCTTTGGTAGTGACGCGGTAAGTTTGTAGCTAAAATGTCTATTGTTTTGAATCTCATCTTGTGGTAATGAAATGTCTGCAAGATAACAAAATGTTTGACTCTCCACCAGCCTAGCTGCTGCTGGCTGTGCATATTTCAGAGATATTGCTGTCATGGAATAGACAGTGTACCACGAGTGTACTGTCAATTCTGATGCTTCAGATGAACATCCCGTTTCAGAGGTGCTCCCCTCGAACATGTCGACGAAGCCATGATCAATGCGCGACACGGAGACCTCGAGAAAAAATTGGATCATCTCCGACTTTTTTATGAAGTTCGGATTGCCGCAGCAGAGCCAAGCCACCATCGCTATCAACCGCATCCATGATGCACGAGACTGTCAACAGAAACCAAAGCACTGCACTGAGGCCCGTGTGGTGTCTTTGATCAGTAGAGTTCGTCGTACAATCTGGTGTAAGCAGCATCATGGCTGAGGGTCTGTGGCGAGGGCCTAGCGCTGATCAGGATGTTAGATTTTCGGACAAAGACACGAAGCTCCTGAAGACACAGCGATTCGCAAAAATATTTGATAAACCTGTAAGCCATATCCTTTACTCATGCAATACGACGTAGTATGGGCTTGTTTGTCACCTGATGGATCATTTCTTGCAGGTTGATATGAAGAAGGTGAAAAAGGAAGTAATTTACCCGTGGATTGCTAGAAGAGTGACTGAGCTCCTTGGAGTTGAAGATGAGGTTCTAATCAATTTCATTTGTAGTCTACTCCAAGACGAGGTGAGCTTTCTTTGCGCGGGAAGATTTTCTCTACGATATTTGTTTCTAATATTGTGGTATGTGCTCTATTACAGATTATGAAATGCGATCGGGCCGTGCTTTGTTCAGTGAAACACACCTTATGCTATATTTCATGTTTCATTATGGCAGGTGGATCCCAAACGCATGCAGATACAGCTGACAGGGTTCCTGGAGAATCACACGACTACTTTCATGAAGGAATTGTGGAGAATCCTCCGTAACGCGCATCGCAATGAGCACGGGATTCCGCAGAAACTTCTGGACGAATTCGCCGAGGAGAATGGATTAATTGTAAGACTGTGGTGTTTCTTTGCTCGAACTAAATCTGTGCATATTAATGCAACTTACGTATTCGTCTGTCTTTCCATTCAGCCTACTGAGGTAGGAGATGCGAGAAAAAAGGCGTTGGAAGCTGCTGCAAGGCTTTCGTCAGATATCCTTGAGGATGCTCAAAAGGAACGCGGGCCTAAAGAAGACCACGAGGTTCCGACGATCGACGGAGATGCAGACTTACAGAGATGCAACCGAAGAAATAATTTTCACGCACACGACGAAAGCTGGAGAAGGTATATTTTTAGGATTCATCATTCATCACGATCTTCCCGCACAGTGGCCAATTTTGCTGACACTCTACTGTGTATTTTGTTTTTTTCAGTAAGCGCTCCCTCAGTGCAGTTGAACGACGGGATTTCAATGCGCACAAGCGTGGAAGGTTCTCGAACCATCATGGAAACCGTCACAGCGATCGATTTCCACCCAAGGATACCCGTCGCTTTGGTCGATCCTCTGAATTTCAGCAACAGCCTCAATGGCGTCGCAACTTACAACGTAATAACTGCAACCCGCGACAATCATGGTCGTCAGGAAAAGCATACAAGAAGGAGGGGACTGGAAGGTCCTTCCGAAGCAACAACTCTAACCAGCGTAATTCTGCCAGCATGACATCATACCCACCTGGATTCAACTGCTCGCGGAATGGGACGGATTCACTGGTTGAACTGAACGTCAACATTGAACGACAAATTACCTACCCTCCTGGATTTGAGAAAAGAATCAACGCTGAGTTCCACGACATACAAGATACGCAACCGCCCCAATCACCTCCCCCAAGATTCGAATGTCGTCGAGAATGGCGTTCTCAGATCCAACCAAGGTAAGAAGCGACCTGTTCAATGCATTATGTCTCAATTCAGGCTGAAAATTCTTGCTGATGTTCTCTCGTCTTTGCTTTCAGGAGTTTCAAGAGGCCTTCCTCTCCTCAATTCAGCCGGAAGAGCCAGCCTGAGACGCGCCTGGGTTTTGAAGGGCCATGCGACGAAGCTAAGCACGCAGGACAGCCTCAGAGCACTGAGACCACTGCTGTAGCTACTCCTGTCACTGCTCAGGTTGAAAGCTATCAGTGTGCTGCTGCTGCACATCCTGCTGGATCTTCGCAGGATATTGGAGGTGCAACTTCACAAGTTGATGTTGATGGTGGAAGGTTTGTTAGTGCTATATCTCAAGCTGGCTGCAGTTCTGCGCAAGCCTCTTCTAAAGCCTTGGCTGCAAGAGCTTGTGGATTAGAAGATGCTTCTCATGGACAGGACAAGTTCTACGGAAGCCCCGACCAGCAAGACTCCAGTCACCAGGTTGAAGACATGGACATTTCGTCTGAAGATGAGTCCTGTGTGAAGAAGGGCGTGACGGATTCAGCAGGCTCTGCAGGAGAGTGGGAGGGCATGGAGACGAGGGACGAGAGGAAGGCAAGGAAGAAGGAAAGGCGGCGCCACAAGGAAGAGAAGAGGGCACGGAAGGAGGAGAGGCGGAAGAGGAGGGAGGAGAAGCGGCAACGTAAGGCAGAAAAGCAGGCTGCCAGGGAGACGAGCAAGAAGGCGGAGAGGGATGGAGATCATCCAGATGACTGGGAGCCCCTCCCAATGATAGAACCTGAAGCAATGAAGCAAGATGCAGAGATTCAAATCTGTTCCCAGGAGTTTGAGGAGAGAGACAGAAGGTGGCTTGACACTGTGCTCCTGGATGGTCCTGCTGACATTTCACAGCCTGAAGATCCTGATTGGGGTTCAATGCCGAAGCTGGCTGCAGCAGGCAAGGCTGTGATGGAATCTCAGGAGCATCACAAGACAATCACTGCAGATGAGCAGCGGAAAGCAAATCTGGAGAGGGATTTGAGGATGAAGGTGATGCATTCTTTCCAAGCTAAGCGGCTGACTGTTTGAGATGCTGCAGCGAGTCAGTAGACACCATTTGCCATTCCAGACAAGTTCCTCAGGTAGCAGAGTACTGTACCAAGTTCAAAAATTTCCAGTCCCTAGAGCCAGTTACCGTAGCTGATTCAGAAGTTTGATTATTCTTTATTTGACTTTGATATTCGCCCAAATGCTCAACATTCCCCCGCTCTCACCCAAGCACTTTCAACAGTGGGAGATGAAGTGCTATACATTCCTGGACGTTGCACAAATAATGCTCATTCCATCAGTGACATCGGACAAGGGTCTCAGGCTTGGAGACCCCTAAACGGATGGACAATGTGCAGAGCAAATCGAGTGGAGAGCTTGCTTAGTCGAACAGGCTGAAACCCATATCCTGCACATCGTAAAAGAGGGGCAAGGCACATGGAATCAAAATTGGTATAAGAAGAACCACCCACGGGTTGCTAGGGAGCTAATTGATCACTGCTAAAAGCCTGCGCGAAAGGTAAACGACCAGTAATGTCATCTACTCGAAGTAAATAACCATCAACTGCTCCCCGCTCCACTGTAAGGCTGCTCGGATCCATATACTACCAGCTTCCAACTCTCGTGAAAAAAACCCCTGTCTGCCGAGCGAGAAGCAACGTTGTGGTTCTGCTAGGGCTACGCAGACAGCCTTCAGTCGGTCTTGAGATGCTAAACCCCTTCCTGATTATAATTTCCCGGAGACAAGCTGTGCACGTCGCTGTCTCGCTCTAACTAAATCGGTCACGCTTCTTGGCGATAGCTACGACTACGCGCTTCGCAAGGAGAAAAGCACGGGGCTTGAAGGGAAAGGGACAACAGCATCCAGCATATGGAAAGTAGAGAAACGGGAGGGGCGGGGGGACAACGTGGAGAAGATTAAGCAAACAAAACAGCATTGGAGATGAAACGGAAGTTACGTACGTCGTCAGACTCTTCCTTCTCCTCTTCCTTCTTCTCCTCCTTCTTCTCCTCAGCGGGGGCAGCAGCAGCGGCACCGCCACCGCCTGAAGCGGCAACGGCAACGCCGCCACCGCTGGGCACCGCGGCGAACTTCTCTCGGCCGGCCGCGATGACCTCGTTAATGTCCTTGCCCTCCAGCTGCTTCAGCAGCAGACCTATCCTGTCATCATCAGCCTCAGCGCCAACTGCGGGATCACGGGAACAAGAAAATTGGCGGGGCCACGACGGAAAAGTGGGGGAAAGGGGTGTGGCGGGGAGGGAGAAGGAGGCGGACGAGTTAGGGTTATGGACATCTGGAGAGCTTGAGCGCTCGAAATTTGCGAAAAACTAAGGGTCCAACGATCAAAGCTCCCACCAGATTATTCCACATAAACTTCAGGCCTCTCGTGTATCGAATAATTCCATGTAAATCGTGTCAGCTCTAAACCCTAAAGCGCATCGCGAGGCCGGGAGCGTTAGCGAGCACATGCCTGACGAAAGAATGCCCTTGATATCGGCAGCGGCGGGGCTCGCGTTGCCTCCGAGAAGCGCGAGGAGGTAAGCCGCGACAACCTTCATTGTGGCTGTTCGGGTGGAGTAGTACACGTGCGACTAAGGGAGGAGTAGGAGCGGTGGGTAAAGGCAGAAAGGAGGGCGAAAGGATCGCAGTTATGCTGCTATTGGGTCTTTGAGGGAGGGCGCAGGTAAGATGAGAAAGGGAGAAACGCGAGGGAAGGGAGGGGGAGAATGGGGAGATGCGCTGTGAGGGGAGGTGGGGTGGGGGTAGGGGAACAGGGCTTGCGCGTTCAGCGAGGGCAGATTTTCCAGCCTGGCGGAAAATGTTACAGCTGCGGGAGGGCAAGTGCTGCTTGCTTGCGGTGAGGTGGGGGTTGGGGGGGTTAGCTGACGTGGTGTGCCGCGGGGTTGAGGTACGCCACAGCTGTGCCGTAAAGCGAGTGTGACCCAACATCACTGCACTCACTGCTGGTGTTTTCTGCAGAACTTCAGTTTACAGTTATTTTTCTGGAAGCGTAAGAATTTCACATTGGACTGTGTGTAACGCAGCTCTTTGAATTGAATCAACGAAAAGTCGAGTGTTTGCTTGGTTGATTCAGGCTGCTGTTTCGGCCTACCCGCCACAGTCTGCATGCAGAGGGTAACCACTGAGGAGTCAAGCATGGTGCAAAAGGATAGAGCACGTTTTCATGCGGTCTGAAGAAACAAGGAGATATAGACCTAGCTCACATTATCCTCTTGCAACAAGATATTCTCTAGGTTGCTTCTGGCCTTTGTGCTGCTGGTAGGGTTTCTTGCTGCTCTCGCCAGCGCGTCATCTCCTAACCTTGCGTGAACATGGCGCCATCCGGATCAGGCTGTCGCCTAGACGCAGGATAATGGACATTGCGATAAGATTACGTCACGGCCTAGTTTTAGCGTCGACCTCTATCAGATCTGCGATCTGAATCGGGGTTACGTTTTTCCAAGACTTGAGATCGGTGACCCAGCTTATCTTGGCAAATTCTTTCTCTTTACATTCCTTTTCTTTTAGTCGTCATCCGTTTAGTTAGACTTTTATAGGTCGCCGTCTTTCCAGAATTACCGTCGTTTTTACTTCAAGGAGCCATGGCGGGCCGCTACCCTTATTCCGGTCCGGGAAGCAGCGGCCAGCAGCAGCAGCATGCGTTACCTCCAAATTCTGAAGCCGCGTTGGAGGAGAAGGCGAGGAAGTGGCAGCAGCTGAACCAGAAGCGGTACGCGGAGAAGCGGCGGTTCGGGTACGTGGAGCACCAGAAGGAGGACATGCCGCCGGAGCACGTGCGCAAGATCGTGCGCGATCATGGCGACATGAGCTCGCGCAAGTTCCGCCGTGATAAGCGCGTGTACCTCGGCGCGCTCAAGTTCGTGCCGCATGCGGTGCTGAAGCTTCTGGAGAACATGCCGATGCCGTGGGAGCAGGTGGGCTTGCTTTTTCTCATTCTTTCTTTGCTCCTCTCATCCGTTATAATTTCTGTAATTAGTTCTTAGTGTTCTGCTTTGGCTAAGTCATGCACTATTTTCCAGGATTTGTAGATTCCATTTCCTAATTGTTTTTTTTTTTCATCAATTTTGAATTGTTCCTGTAGTTTTATCGCCTCCTGTCTTCTTTTCATTCCTCCATAGCCCAGTCTTCCGTCGTTTTCCCTCTGATCGATTTCATCCATTGATCTGGTCACTGCCGTCTCACGAATGCGTTTATCTTTCCGTTTGCTGTGCCATCCCGCTAATATCCTCTGCTTCTATCTCCTCTCTTTTTCCCTCTCATCCCGTCCGCCCATCAGGTGCGGCACGTGAAGGTGCTGTACCACATCACGGGCGCCATCACGTTCGTGAACGAGACGCCGCTGGTGATTCCGTCCGTGTACATGGCGCAGTGGGGCACCATGTGGATCATGATGCGCCGCGAGAAGCGCGATCGCCGCCACTTCAAGCGCATGCGCTTCCCGCCCTTCGACGACGAAGAGCCGCCGTTGGATTACGCCGAGAACGTGCTCCACGTGGACCCGCTCGATGCCGTCCAATTGGAGCTCGACGAGGAGGAGGACTCGGCGGTCTACGATTGGTTCTACGACTCCAAGCCGCTTGTCAACACGCGATTGGTCAACGGGCCGAGCTACCGCAAGTGGGAGCTGAGCGTCCCGATCCAAGCAACCCTTTTCCGCTTAGCGGGTCAGCTTCTATCGGATCTGATCGACGAGAACTACTTCTACCTGTTCGACCTGAAGTCGTTCTTCACGGCTAAGGCGCTCAACATGTGCATCCCGGGCGGGCCGAAGTTCGAGCCGCTGTTCCGCGAGAAGCCCGAGGCGGAGGAGGACTGGAACGAGTTCAACGACATCGGCAAGCTCATCATCCGCACGCCCATCCGCACCGAGTACCGCATCGCGTTCCCCTGGCTCTACAACAGCCGCCCGCGCAAGGTCGCCGTGCAGGCTTACCACACGCCGCAGGTGAGGCGGCTGGAGAGACTGGGGCTGGGGCTGGGGCTGGGGCTGGGGTTGGGGCAGGGGTTGGGGTTGGGGCAGGGGTTGGGGTTGGGGCAGGGGTTGGACTGGGTTTGAGGGGGACATGGCATGGGGGAGGGTGGTGGGTGCGGGTTAGAGGTGGCAGAGGGGGGTGGGCTGGGTGCGAGAGAGAAGCGGATGAGTGAGAGCCTGTTCCAGCCTTCGCTGCTAGTGCTGCTGCTGCTGATGGTAAAAATCTTGCTGCTGTTGCACTCATGTGCATCAAGTTGTCTTTCCCTACCCACACTCCCGTCTCCACTTGCAAACCCGTGCCCTTGGTTGCCTTCTCTCGCTTGCCCGTCCGTCGATACCTACACTTGTGTTTTCTTCCCCCCACCCGCCCCCGTTCTCCCCCCCTTTCCACCTCCCTTTCCCTACCACTCCCCCCTTTCTCTCCCCCCCCACCCTTCCCTTTACTCCCCCCCTCGCCCCTTCCTCTCTCCTCCCCTCCCCCTCCCCCCCCTTTCCTCCCCCTGCCCCTTCATTTCCCCCTTTTTCCTCAACCCCCCCCTTTTTCTCTTCCCGTCTCTTCCTCCCGCCCCGCTTCCTCTTCCCCACCCCCCTCTCAAGTCGGAGGACCCAGACTTTCCAGCCTTCTATCACTAACTCTACCCATGTCTTTCCTTCCCCCCACCCGCCCCTTTCCCCCATTCCTCTCCCCCCCCTTCCTCCCCGCCTTCCCCCCCCCAACCCCCACTTCCCCCTCCCACAGGTCATGTACATCAAGTCAGAGGACCCAGACCTGCCCGCCTTCTACTACGACCCGCTCATCCACCCCATCCCGCACTACCGATCCGAGTCCCGAGCCTCGCGCGCAGCCCTGGAAGAGGACCTGGAGGAGGAGGAATGGACCCTCCCCGAGGGCGTCGAGCCGCTCCTCTCCTCCACACCTCTCTACACCGACGCCACAGCAGCCGGCATCGCGCTGCTGTGGGCGCCGTACCCGTTCAACCGGCGGTCGGGGAGGACCAGGAGAGCAGAGGATATCCCGCTGGTGGCGGGGTGGTTCAAGGAGCACTGCCCTCCGAACCACCCGGTGAAGGTGCGCGTGAGCTACCAGAAGCTGTTGAAGCTGTGGGTTCTCAACGAGCTGCACAAGCGGCCGCCCAAGTCGCACAAGAAGAGGGATCTGTTCCGCGCGCTGAAGCAGACCAAGTTTTTTCAATCCACGGAGTTGGACTGGGTGGAGGCCGGTTTGCAGGTGTGCCGGCAGGGGCACAACATGCTCAACCTGCTGATTCACCGCAAGAGCCTGCACTACCTTCATCTGGATTACAACTTCAATCTCAAGCCCGTGAAGACTCTCACGACCAAGGAGCGGAAGAAGTCCCGATTCGGCAACGCTTTCCATTTATGTCGGGAGATCCTGCGGCTGACGAAGCTGGTGGTGGACGCGCACGTGCAGTACCGGCTGGGGAACGTGGACGCGTTTCAACTCGCGGACGGGTTACAGTACATCTTCTCCCACGTGGGGCAGCTGACCGGCATGTATCGGTACAAGTACCGGCTCATGCGGCAGGTGCGCATGTGCAAGGACCTGAAGCACCTCATCTACTACCGATTCAACACAGGGCCGGTGGGAAAGGGCCCGGGGTGCGGGTTCTGGGCGCCGGTGTGGCGAGTGTGGCTGTTCTTCCTGCGCGGGATCGTGCCCCTGCTGGAGCGGTGGCTGGGGAACCTTCTCGCGAGGCAGTTCGAGGGGCGGGCGAGCAAGGGCGTGGCGAAGACTCTCACGAAGCAGCGCGTGGAGAGCCACTATGACCTGGAGCTGAGGGCAGCCGTGATGCACGACATTCTCGACATGATGCCCGAGGGCGTGAAGCAGAACAAGTCGCGCACCATTCTGCAGCATCTCTCGGAGGCGTGGCGGTGCTGGAAGGCCAACATTCCCTGGAAGGTGCCTGGGCTGCCGGCGCCCATCGAGAGCATGATCCTGCGGTACGTGAAGATGAAGGCGGACTGGTGGACCAACGTGGCGCATTACAACCGGGAGCGGATTCGCCGCGGGGCGACGGTGGACAAGACGGTCTCGAGGAAGAACCTGGGGCGGCTGACGCGGCTGTGGCTCAAGGCGGAGCAGGAGCGGCAGCACAACTACCTCAAGGACGGCCCGTACCTCTCGCCCGAAGAGGCCGTCGCGATCTACACCACCACGGTGCACTGGCTCGAGTCGCGCAAGTTCCAGCCCATCCCGTTCCCCCCTCTCTCCTACAAGCACGACACGAAGCTGCTGATTCTCGCGCTGGAGCGCCTCAAGGAGCCGTACAGCGCGAGCGTGCGGCTGAACCAGCAGCAGCGGGAAGAGCTGGGGCTCATCGAGCAGGCCTACGACAACCCGCATGAGGCGCTCTCCCGCATCAAGCGCCACCTGCTCACCCAGCGCGCCTTCAAGGAGGTCGGCATCGCGTTCTTCGACCTCTACACGCATCTGGTCCCGGTCTACGACATCGAGCCTCTAGAGAAGATCACGGATGCGTACCTGGATAACTACCTGTGGTACGAGGCGGATAAGAGGCGGCTGTTTCCCAACTGGGTGAA